CACCGTCACTGCTCTGAGACCCCCACACTGGCCGCGCCCGCAGAAACCTGCTGAGACAGACCCTCGGGAGGGGGCCAATCCTGCGTGCGGCCGCCAGTGCCGGGAGCAGAATGCACTTCGCTCAGCAGCACACCAGCACCAGCAACGCATTCGGAAACACCAACACAAACCCACTGGCAAAGGTAGAAAGGTCCTTGCCATGAACGTTTTGGGGACAGTAGAATGGTTCAATATAAAAAACAAATATGGTTTCATAACCCGGAATGATAACAAAGATGAAGTGTTTGTTCATCAGACTGCTATAAAAAGGAAGAAACATGGGAAATACCTCCACAGTCTAAGACATGGAGAAATTGTGGAATTCAATATAACACAAGGAAGAAAAGGCCCCCCGAGCAGCTGATGTGACAGGACCTGGTGGAGTTCTAGTGCAAGGTAGTAAACATGCACCAGACTACATCAAAACACACAGAGAAAATAGCCCTGCCATCTTTCCTGATACACCCAGAACATTTCAGATCACTGCTCTGTCTCACCCAACACCCATCTATCCTAAGTCTCAACCTGATCCTGAAGCTAACACTGGAAAGCTGATCAGGAAAGGCACACAGATATCGGGGTAGTCAATGTACATCCCATCTCCAGCTCCCCTCATCACTTTGCCAGTCCACAGTGAACACTCATCCTTCGGAGTTGTTCAGCCATATCGACAGCAGGTGTTGGGGGAAGATGACCTACCAGCAAGCGAAAATGAAAAGCCTTCCAGTCAGATAAGTGCCATTTTTTCTAATACCCTTCCCCAATTCCTGTGGCCTTCCCGCCCCCCTCCCACCTTCCCCTTTTCCTTTCCATTGTCCTATTAGCCCTCCATGTGAGGGCCATGAGATGAATGTGATCATGAGATAACCACAACCATGACCCAACCACAGCTGAGAGATGACCATGACAAGATTGTGGCAAATGAGTTGAACATGACATGATCATAAAATGACTGTGACCATTACAATGACCATGGGATGATGGTTACAATGAGAAAACCATGACTGTGAGATGACCATGAGCATGTGATAGTTGTCACCGAGACATGACCATGAGATGACCACAACACACCATGGCCATGCGTGATCATGATCGTGAGATGACTGTGAGCTAAGATAACCATGAGCTTAAGATTATGGTCATCAGGAAATGACCATCACCCTGAGATGGCCATGAGATGACCGTGAGCATGACACAACGATGATCGTGAGATGACTATTACAGTCAGATTACTATGAATGTGACCATGACAGGACCATGACCATGAGATGACCACGAGCATGAGATGATTGTGACCACGACATGACCACAATACAACCATGGCCATGTGGTGACCAAGACCATAGGAATGATGACTTACATTGTAGCTTTCATATTTTCAATATTCTGTACTGTGCTAGTATATAACTCTGAAATTCATATCAAGTGTTAGCAAGTTCTCTTGTGAGTGACAGCAGGGCTGGGGGGACACAGAACCCCCCAAAAATCAGCGAAGTGGGGACGGAGTGGGGGCTCCCAGCCAGGCCTGA